CGTTGTGTAAAAATGTAAGGAGCATTGACGTAAAAAAGACACTGTGCAAGGGAGATAAACCGTAGCAAAAGCTACAGATATCCGAGACAAAAGCTTATTGTTTGTTTGTTTATGATTAATGGTATATCTCCTTGAATTTACCATCATATATGCTAATGGCGGACAGATAATTTTCTCTATATCTTTTTCATTTATATTAAAATGGCTTGTAAAATTTTGAGTCCTTCTTCGTTGTGCTTTTTGAGTATTCAAGTATTTTAGAATCGTCTAATAATTACGAAGAATTTTATGACATATATATATATATATATATATATATATATATATATAAATTACAATGAATCATTCATATAAAAGTAGATTAGTAAAGTTAATGATATAAAATGGCAAAATCTCTTCACAAACAAAATTTTAAAGTTGCATTAATCTACGAACCACAATTTAGTTCATGCCACATTGACTGGTAAATTCCTACAAAAAAAATTCTCAAATTACCATATTAGTAAAAAACTCACTCTTAAATTTTCCAAAAAAAAATTAAACCTTAGCGTTATGACTGCACGATCCAAAAGTTTTTATCCCTTAACAATAACACATTTCTGAAAAAACATATTTCGATTTGCATTTAATTTGTCGTCTCTGATGCTACCTGGATTTTACTAAAAACAAAATAATTTCCATGCCTGAGGATGACTGTATGTACAGCCGAAAGTACTAGCCGATTAATAAAAGACCTTATACAGCTTGTAGTTATTAAAACATTCATCGGGTGGTTCGTGCATTAATGTAATTTTAAAATGTTGTTTGTAAATACATTTCGCAAATTTATATCATTAACTTTGCTAATCTACTTTTTGTATGAATGATTCGTTATAATATAAATTGAACTGCAGCACATATTTGATATATATATATATATATATATATATATATATATATATATATATATATATATATATCTGTGTGATAAAAATAGTGCTCAGTATCAGCGACAGACCATATGTAAATTAACACCAAGTCGTTTGGTGTTTAACTCCATGTTCACATTTATATATATAATATATAAATATATATAAGATGAGCAACTTCTTTTCTATCTAAAGGTCAAGATATACCATGCAAACACACACACACACACACACACACACACACACACACACACACATATATATATATATATATATATATATATAGTGTCAATCAAAAATAACTTTACAAAATTTGGGGCGGTTTCCTCCCACCAAAACAAGGACATAGGTTCATATAACATATCTCCGCAAATTTATGAGTTATTAAATTTAAAGTTTATGATAGACGCTGTTAAATATCCAATCCAAGATACAATCGAAAAATACTTGTACAGAGTTTGGGGTCGGTTTTCTGACACCAAAACAAGATAAAATGTCCATATAAACACATGTCCGAAAGGCCATCGTTGTTCCTCAACACAGCAACTCATAAAAAATGTTTAAAATGCCCCCCCGCTTATTTTTACAGACGCGTGCCCTTTACGTTTACAGATCAGGCCAAAAATGGAGTACTGCTATCATATTTGAACGGGATCTGCTCAGATCTCACCCTCCAGCCTTGATACAATCCAAAAGCTTCTCCGAATCCTTGTGGGTGACGAAACCTGCTCCCGTTACCTTTGCAAGAGTTGGTTGGCGGTGAAAGAAAATCAGAGTAGAAGAAAGTGCCGATGGCGTGAATTTGTTTAAAGTAGACCTCGACTTGCCATGAAGTGGGCCACACCCTTGATTTCATGACCTTCCTCTGCGGCACATATGGATATGAGACATGGAGTATCCGTTTGTGAAACCGCAATGGCATGCCGCTAAGCGCTGTTCTAATTTCGAGTCGCGCCTTCTGTATCTCACAGAAGCTGCTCCACAGAATTATGTCTGTCATGTGTAGACCTCATCATCCAGTGGTTCAACCGTTGAGATCTGCTGTAATCAGCATGCGCTTGTTCCATCTGCTGTTCATCATCATTTACTGCGTTCATTGTTGAACAATGGCATCATCCAACACCTTCTCTAAATTATGCAAAGACACAAGGGGTTACAGGGTGTGGAAGAATTAGGAACAGAAACATTAATAATGAGCGGGAAGAGGAAAGAGTAATTTAGGGGGACAGTAGACAGCGATTGACATTGCATTTAAATCTTTCTAGATTAGGGTTGGCTGGAAAGCATGGAGCTGGGGGAGAGTTCCACAAGTGAGAAGTGCGAGAAAAAAACGGTTAGCATAAAATTTACGGTTACATTTAGCCAGCTTAGCGGTAAATTGATGAGATCTCGAAATTCAAAAAGTCTAGGTACCATAGCGAAGAGCTCATCCGAACAATTACCATGAATGTATTTATAGAAAAGGAACAAACCCGCAACCTTACAGCGGTAAAAAGTGACTAAGGCCGAACCGCCAGATCAGGACCAATAATATAGCTGATTCTCCAGGTAAATAGCAGGGGAATTAGGTCATATTTGGCAGCAATAGTTTAAACATTGACGAATGGTAGACTTATTGATATGTAAGATTGATTTTGGGGAGAAACATTATCTGGCACGGCACAGCGAATCGACTTTCTTATCAGCTGACCTAGCGATGGATTCAATATAGTCTTTCCACTTCTTGTCAGCTGAGAACGTTAGCCTGAGAAGGCGCACGAGTCACCTTCCTGGAGGTTAACACCAGCCATACTGATCGAAGGCAGAGATGGGCCTACCAGATGATTAATGGAGATAAGTTTAGCTTTGGGGGCGTTAAAATTAACAAGCCATGAGAGAGACGGACTTGTCCTTTTTGATATCGGCTGCCATTTTGACCTTGTCGGACTGATCAGCCTTACTATCCGCGCAAGTTGAGCGTAGATACGAAGTTGAGAACTGATGGCATCAAGAAGGTCATTAATGAAAATTAAAAAAAACAGGGTAGAACAAAGGATGGGACGGGTAGGCACGTAAAGATCTAGACGAGTCGCCGTTCAGGATAATCTTCATTTCACGATTTAATAATAAAGAGAGGATCAGTTCAAAAATGAGTCTGGAGACACCGTAACGTTTCATCTCATGGAGAAGATCTGTATGCCAGATCCTGTCAAGGGCTTTCAAGTTGTCTAATGCTACAACCAGGGCTTCACTGTTTTTATCTAGAGCATGATAGACTCTTTTCGCAATTATCGACGACATCAGCAGTTGACCCGTCTAGTTTCTGTCTTATTCCTTGCATTGCATTTTTCGTTGACTTCTATACGTTTCTAAATTTCTCAGTTTCCATGATTCATTAGGTCTTTAATCTTATCAAACTCTTTCCATCCACTTTTTATGCGTTGTTTTATTTCCTTTCCATAGTCTTTCTGTAATGTTGTCAGCTGTATTCCTGGAATTCTTCCAGTTCTTCATCTATTTTTATATTTTTTTCTGAAAATTACAACCGAACATTACTTTTGACTCATTTCTATTCATTTCTTAAACGACATGGATCTTTGTCTATTTAGGTAACTGAAGTTTTTGATTAAAATGTCATCAGTTAATTGTAGGTTGTTCAGTATTAATATTTACTATTAACATTTACTCTTATCTCGAGGTCAGTTTACTGATAATGGCCTGGGTTGCTTCGTCGATGCTATAGATATAGATATTGAAATAAGAATGAAATTGAACTAATTAAGCTTCTCTATCAAGAAACAGGACGCCAAAAAACCTTCGTGAAATAAATATTGTGTTCTGGAATTGAAATGAAAATAAATGTATTATGTGTTGTGAATTCTTCATAGAAATTCAGAATTTGGAATTATTAATTGCTAAAATCTTCAAGTACAACAAATTTAGTGTAGGAGATATAGAAATTGAATATAGAATAGCCTGCAGAGGAGGTGGTTTCAATCGACACCACAAGTTTCTAAAAAAAGAAAACATTAACCTAAAAGTCATGTTCTTAAATAGCTTTCTTAGGCTGAGACTTTGTACGAATATAGTTAAGACATATCTAAAATGTCAGCTTTATACAGCCCCTTTCTCAGATAAATCGTTAAAATGGCTTGAAGTGAGAGAAGGCTGTGAGTCTTGGCGAGGACCCACACCTCTACTTCTTCGAAACTCGTGGGCTGGCGCTACAGAATCACAAACAGCAGTGCCAAATAACAGAAGTAGTTTAATCATCAGCAATAACAGAAACGGATAGTGCATATAAATCGAAAAGAAAATAATTGCATAATTAAGATCTTGACATTCCTCAATAGTTCAAACAAAAACTAACGAAGAAAATTCCTATCAATACTGGAAAGATCGATAACAGTTAGTGGACTTGAGATACCTGTTTTCCTGAAAAAATGTTTTAAGAGAAAAGTTGGATATATTTCAACAATAGACAGTAATGATGGTTGCTCGGTCACTGAAAGCCGAATATTTCCTTATAAGGAAACGGTTACTATTACCATTACAATTGATATTACCATTCATTGCAAATTCTTTTTATGGAAGCTATTTTCTGTTGTACATGATTTAGGCGAAAATAGTTTTTTTTTCATTTATTTTTTAATGATTATTTCATGAAGTAATGATTTATTACTAAATCATTTATTCAGAACTATACTTACGTGTGTTGTATAAAAAGAAATCCATTTTTATTCTTGCTGCGTGAAGCACAAAATATTTGTTTTATTCAATTCTAAGAGTCTGGGAAAACAAGGGCCTTTATATTTGCAACTCTGTTTTTGATTGCAGCGGACAATAAAAGTGGTTTCCTGGCAACGACGCATGCGCCCTGCTGGCAAAGTGTACCCGAACCAGATGGACAGTGGCAGGAAGACGCGGAGGTGGAAGATTTACTGTCTGGCCAGTCATGAACTCTCGGACAAAGGAGTCTTAGTTGCCGTTGAAGAACGGACGATTTTAGTTGCCGTGTTCACTGGATACTATACTATAAACATCCCACTAACTCTTTGTCGACCATAGAGAAATCAGCAATTCTCTGCGAGGGAGGGTTTGGCTGGAGTGGCGATGATCGGTCTTACGACCGTTTCCGCAGTCTGTTCTCATGCCGTGTCCGGCCTGTAAGTCTGTTAATGGGAATCTGTAAGATTCTTATTACCTTCTTGTATTATTTTCGAACTGGTGTTCTCATCTTGGTTGATACAGACAGAATCTTTCAACCAAATACGCTCTGGTCATCATCAGGTTTCCATCGAGTGGCTGATACGCGATATCTATTGATTATTGTGATATTTTGTCACTATGATACCAATTATTTGTTTGTCACTAACAGATCCATGGAAGTAAGACATATATAACAAAATCCTATATCCACTACGTCACTGAAGAGTACTGATCATCATAATAATAATAATAATAATCATCATAATCATCACCATCCTTCGACCTCCCTATTGTTGGTCGGAACTCCATTGACAATCCCATTCCACACTGTTCAGTCCTGCATTGCTATCCCTAGATCCCAAATATCCAACCCTGATTCCCGAGCTATAGTGTCTGGAAAAGTCAATTTTCCACATTTCCAGAAGGATGCCATACAATTGGGACAACTTGTCCATTCCGTAACAGTGGCCGTCAATCTCTTACTTTCTCTCTCACTCATCTACGCTCCTTTCTAATCATTCACCATCATCATCCTCCTTTGAAGTGGTTGGTCAGAACTTCATCAATCCATTTCCACGCTGTTCCGTCCTGCATTGATACCTGTCCATCCCTGATTCCCCGAGCTATAGTGGAAAAGTCAATTTTCGTGAGAAGACATTTCAGAAGGATGCCTTACGAGTAAGGATGGGACAACTGCACTGTCCATTCCGTAACAGTGGCCGTCACACTCAATCTTACTTTCTCTCTCACTCATCTATTGCTTAATATCTCTTTCTTTCCTTTTCTCTCTCTCTCTCTCTCTCTCCTCTGTTTTATTGCTTCTTCTTCTTCTTCATTCACCATCATCATCCTCCTTTGACCTCCCAGTGGTTGGTCAGAACTTCATTGTTCCGTCCTGCATTGATGTCTCAGATCCACAATGTCAACCCTGATTCCCGAGCTATAGTGTCTGGAAAAGTCAATTTTCGTGAGAAGACATTTCCAGAAGGATGCCATACAGTAAGGATGGGACAACTGCACTGTCCATTCCGTAACAGTGGCCGTCACACTCATATCTCTTACTTTCTCTCTCACTCATCTATTGCTAATATCTCTTTCTTTCCTTTCTCTCTCTCTCTCTCTCTCTCTCTCTGTTTTATTGCATATCTCTTCTTCTTCTTCATCATTCCATCATCCTCCTTTGACCTCCCAGTGGTTGGTCAGAACTTCAGGGACAATCCGTTTCCACGCTGTTCCGTCCTGCATTGATGTCTCCAGATCCACAATGTCCAACCCTGATTCCCGAGCTATAGTGTCTGGAAAAGTCAATTTTCGTGAGAAGACATTTCCAGAAGGATGCCATACGAGTAAGGATGGGACAACTGCACTGTCCATTCCGTAACAGTGGCCGTCACACTCATATCTCTTACTTTCTCTCTCACTCATCTATTGCTTAATATCTCTTTCTTTCCCTTTCTCTCTCTCTCTCTCTCTCTCTCTCTCTGTTTTATTGCTTCATATCTCTTCTTCTTCTTCATCATTCACCATCATCATCCTCCTTTGACCTCCCAGTGGTTGGTCAGAACTTCAGGGACAATCCGTTTCCACGCTGTTCCGTCCTGCATTGATGTCTCCAGATCCACAATGTCCAACCCTGATTCCCGAGCTATAGTGTCTGGAAAAGTCAATTTTCGTGAATTTCTGCCATACAGTAAGGATGGGACAACTGCACTGTCCATTCCGTAACAGTGGCCGTCACACTCATATCTCTTACTTTCTCTCTCACTCATCTATTGCTTAATATCTCTTTCTTTCCTTTCTCTCTCTCTCTCTCTCTCTCTCTCTGTTTTATTGCTTCATATCTCTTCTTCTTCTTCATCATTCACCATCATCATCCTCCTTTGACCTCCCAGTGGTTGGTCAGAACTTCAGGGACAATCCGTTTCCACGCTGTTCCGTCCTGCATTGATGTCTCCAGATCCATCTATGTCCAACCCTGATTCCCGAGCTATAGTGTCTGGAAAAGTCAATTTTCGTGAACATTTCCAGAAGGATGCCATACAGTAAGGATGGGACAACTGCACTGTCCATTCCGTAACAGTGGCCGTCACACTCATATCTCTTACTTTTCTCTCACTCATCTATTGCTTAATTCCTTTCTCTCTCTCTCTCTCTCTCTGTTTTACTTCATATCTCTTCCTTCTTCTCTTTCACCATCATCATCCTCCTTTGACCTCCCAGTTCAGAACTCAGGGACAATCCGTTTCATGTTCCCTCATTGATGTCTCCAGATCCATGTCAACCCCTCCCGAGCTATAGTGTCTGGAAAAAGTCATTTCCAGAAGGATGCCATACAGTAAGGATGGGACAACTGCATCATTCCTCAACAGTGGCCATCCCTCATATCCTTCACTTTTCTCTCATCATCTATTGCTTATCTCTTTCTTTCCCTTTCTCTCTCTCTCTCTCTCTCTCTGTTTTTTGCTTCATATCTCTTCTTCTTCTTCATCATTCACCATCATCATCCTCCTTTGACCTCCCAGTGGTTGGTCAGAACTTCCAATCCGTTTCCAATCCTGCATTGATGTCTCCAGATCCACAATGTCAACCCTGATTCCCGATAGTGTCTGGAAAAGTCAATTTTCGTGAGAAGACATTTCAGAAGGATGCCATACAGTAAGGATGGGACAACTGCACTGTCCATTCCGTGACAGTGGCCGTCACACTCATATCTCTTACTTTCTCTCTCACTCGTCTATTGCTTAATATCTTTTTCTTTCTCTTACTCTCTCCCCCTCTCTTTCTCTTCATGTCTCTTCATCAGCATCATCATCCTCATCACCATCCTTCGACCTCCCTATCGTTGGTCGGAACTCCATTGGTTCAGTCCTGCATTGCTATCCCTAGATCCCAAATATCCAACCCTGATTCCCGAGCTATAGTGTCTGGAAAAGTCAATTTTCGTGAAAGACATTTCAGAAGGATGCCCATACATGGGACAACTGCACTGTCCATTCCGTGACAGTGGCCGTCACCTCATATCTCTTTCTTCTCTCACTCGTCTATTGCCAATATCTTTTTCTTTCTCTTACTCTCCCCCTCTCTTTCTCTTCATGTCTCTTCATCAGCATCATCATCCTCATCATCATCCTTCAATCGTTGGTCGGAACTCCATTGACAATCCCATTCCACACTGTTCAGTCCTGCATTGCTATCCCTAGATCCCAAATATCCAACCCTGATTCCCGAGCTATAGTGTCTGGAAAAGTCAATTTTCATTGAGAAGACATTTCAGAAGGATGCCATGGGATGGGACAACTGCACTCCATTCCATCCCGTCACACTCATATCTCTTAAATCTATTGATCTTTTTCTTTCTCTTAGTCTCTTCATCATCATCATCCTCATCATCATCCTTCGAGCTCCCCTATCGTTGGTCGGAACTCCATTGACAATCCATTCCACACTGTTCAGTCCTGCATTGCTATCCCTAGATCCCAAATATCAATTTCCCGAGCTATAGTGTCTGGAAAAGTCAATTTTCGTGAGAAGACATTTCAGCCATACAGTAAAGGATGGGACAACTGATGGCCGTCACACTCATATCTCTTACTTTCTCTCTCACTCATCTATTGCTTAATATCTTTTGGATCGTTTTTTTTCTCTTCATGTCTCTTCATCAGCATCATCATCCTCAATTGGTTTCAACTCCATTGTTCATTTCGGTCCTGTTAGATCCCCAATGTCCAACTCTAAATACCGAACTATGGTGACTGGGAAAGTCAGTCTTCGTGAAAGACGAAGATGACATAGGAGTAAGGATGAGATGATTTCCCTGTCCACTCAGTGGCAGTGGATGGTAAACTAAAATCGTTTTTTTTTCAATTGGTTTCAGTTCATTGTGTTAAGCATTGAATGAGATCCCCAACTGATATTCTGGATGTTTCTAAGTAGATTTGTATATGTTCCATCCAGTCGTCTTTCAAGACGAGCAGATAATGTCCAAGTTTCTGATCCATACTGGAGGACTCGTTTAATCACTGTTCGAAAGGTCTGGACTTTTAAGGAGAATGGAAGTTTCGAACTCTAAATCTCGTCAAGTTTGTTACACGAATCCCATACAAATCTTGGATCATATTAGTGGTGTCTTTCTTGAGTTTTTTTTTATTCAATATCAAATGTGTTTTGACATTTGGTCATGATGGCCGTTCCTATCGCTTTTCATAATTTTGTATTTCATCTCTGAGACGTGTAATTGTCAATATCCTTTTATTATTTTCTGTTTTTCTCATCTTTTTTTTACCTCGAAAAAGAGTTCGTGTTTTGTGTGCAATTTGCCGAATAAAAATTACTGAAATTAGTTAGCAAAAATCTGCTACTTTAAGTATCAGAATCTATGCTAATGTTCTTTCCTCCCCTGAATGGTGTGGCCAATCAGAAAAATCTCTCGGGGAACAAAAGCCATTGTTTTTTGTTTTTTTTCGTTTACGATGTAGGATTGTTTCTGGGCTTGGTAGACGAACAAGCGGTTTTGCTGGCGAGAAGTGAAAATTGGATTTGTGACCCAATTTTGTCTTTTCTACGTTGTCTGTTGGACTGTTACGACGGACTATCGTTTGAACTGCGATTTGGCTACAAGTTTTGCAATTGAGATACAGAAGAAACCTACTGCAGGCCTTTATTGCTACTACAATAATGATAAGAAGTTGACTTTTTTTGTTCTCTTTTCTTTACTAAATCAACAATTCTTATAATCGTGCCTGCCAAATAAAAGCCAACAAGAAGATTATCAAATAAATTCAATACATTTTCACTGGAATCTAACATTACTGTTCTAATTAATCCTTTATTCTATGCACAATTGCTAGCGTAGAATTTGTTCGATACTCCTTAGTTAGTTTCACTCATTGGAATGGGACTGAGAGATTGCACGTAATCTGAATCCATAATACAAATTCAGAAACTGTCGTTAATAAATTCTAAAAACTTCAAATACTTTGGTGTACAGAGCAGTTATAACAAATTTAGTATAAGAAATAAGGGAATTAAACACAAGATATATTGCGCAAGAGGTATTTTTGTCAAACACTGTAAGATATTACAAAACCAGAAAAATAGTTTTTTTTAAAATTCGAGTCATGTTCTTAAATAGCCTCGTCCCATCTAGACTACATAGAGAGGTTACGGTGATTTCCTAAGCTTGGCTTAAATGTGGCACAGGGCCGAAAGTGTGGAGCACTCAGTGATAATCTAACTCACTTCTCAATTGTAATTGATCTAGCGAAACAAGCTTACTAACCATTCCACCACGTGGAAGTGCGCCATATGGATGTTATTTATTATCAGAAATGCCAAGAATATCACCTATAAACAACCATTCTCTGAAATAAATGGTTATACATGGTTTCAAGCGAACGAATACTCCAAGTATTAAAGAAAGATGCATCCATCAGATCTGGCGCTACAGAATCCTAAATAAAAAAAAACTTTACCAAATAACAAAACCACATCACACGAATTCATCCAATACCCCATCCTCGGTATGACCATAAACTACATCCGACAGCAAGGCCACTGATGTGGAGCATGGAACTACCTCATAATTGCTGTTGTTACTAGGACCACCCTGATTGCATCTAAGGGCTAAATAGTTAATCTCCAAACTGGGGTCAAAACATTATGTAAGTATAACAATTTTTATAGTAAAAATACCAGCAAAACATTTTCACAGTAAAAAAAAAAAAAAAAAAATACCAGCAATACATAGCTGTAAAAAATAATTACCAGAAATACATTTCTGTAAAAACTTAAAAAAAAAAACTAAAATTACCAGTAACAAATTTCTGAAAAAAAAATTACCAGCAATACATTTCTGTAGAAATAAAAATTCTCAGCAATAAATTATTTTAAAAAAATATAAAAAATCAAAAATTAACAGCAATACATTTCTGTAAAACAAAAAACAAAAAAAAAACAAAAAAAAAAAAACAACAAAATTACCAGAAATACATTACTGTAAAAAATACTTGCAATACATTTCCGTAAAAACTAAAAAACAAAACCAAATTACCAGAAATACATTTCTGTAAAAAAAAAAAAAAATTATCAGCAATAAGTTTTTGTAAAAAAAAAAAAAAAAATTACCAGTAATACATTTCTGTAAAAAAACAAAACAAAAATCAAACGAAATTGCGAGCAATACATTTCTGTAAAAAAAACAAAAAAAAAAAAACGAAATTGCTAACAATACGTTTCTGTAAAAAAAACAAAAAAAAAAACCATTTCTGTATAAAAAAAAAAAAAATTACCAGTTATAAGTTTCTGTAAAATATTTAAAAAAACTTACCAGCAATACATTTCTGCAGAAATAAAATTACCAGCAACAAATTTCTGAAAAAACAAAAAAACAAAACAAAATTACCAGCAATACATTACTGTGAAAAAAATACTTGTAATAAATTTCTGCAAAAATTAAAAAAAAAAAACAAATTTACCAGCAATAAATTTCTGTAAAAAAAACAAAATTACCAGCAATACATTTGTGTAAAAAACAAACAATATTACCAGCAATAGATTTCTGTAGAAATGAAATTACCAGCAATAAATTTCTGTAAAATATAAAAAATTACCAGTGATATATTTCTGTAAAAAACCAAAGTTACCAGCAATACATTAAAAAAAAATTACCAAAAAACAAAATTACTGTAAAAAATACCAAAATAAATTTCTGTAAAGAATAAAAAAAAAAAACAAATTACCAGTAATACATTTTTGTAAAAATATTAAAAAAAATAACAAAATTACCAGTAATACATTTCTATAAATAGATGAAAAACCCCAAATTACCAGCAATAGATTTCTGTAAAAGAAATTACTAATGCTCCCAAAATAATTAAATTTAAGTGACCCATAAGAAGATGATATGCCGTTAAACAAACAAATAATAAATATAAACTCCCAATACCCACAACAACTAAGTTTGGTATTGCATTTAATTAGAAGAGAAAATAATGATATAGTCAAGTTGTTGATCTTCTACACAACCTTGAACAAAATGGTGAGGAAGGAGAAACGATCAGAAATACACCGATTAGAGAGGCAGCAGATAATGGACTTGTGAAAGCTTTTCTTTGTCCGGAGAAAACTGTGGGAAGAGAAACATTTCATGAATTATTAACCGATATTAACGCTAACTGTTCGCTCAATAAACACCCAATTTTTCCTTATAACGAAACGGTTACAATCGCCATTGCCATATAAAGAAATGTTTCCTTATAAGGAAACGGTTATAATCACCATTGCCATATAAGGTAATGTTTCCTTATATGGAAACGGTTATAATCGCCATTGCCCTATAAAGAAATGTTTCATTATATGGAAACGGTTATAATCGCCATTGCCATATAAAGGAATGTTTCCTTATAAGGAAACGGTTATAATCACCATTGCCATATAAAGAAATGTTTCCTTATAAGGAAACGTTTATAATCGCCATTGCCATATAAAGTAATGTTTCCTTATATGGAAACGGTTATAATCGCCATTGCCA